CGGGATCACGACCTGAGCCTAAGGCAGACGCTTGACCGACTGAGCCACCCAGGCATGCCTTCCTCCCCAGGTTTAGATCCAACCCCCTTCCCATCTCCTGGGTTTGGCTGATAATAACTTTCAGGATTTCCATCTGAGCCAAAATAATACTTTCTGGAATCTAACTTTATGTGTATATATGAAAATAATTGATTGATAAAACCATGTTCTATTTTATCAATAGCTCCTTCCCTGACCAAGCAGGGTCAAGAGAAAGAAGAGGAACCACCTTTCCTTTTCCTATGAAACATTTTAGTGTCCTTTAGGGAACAGGAAGAACATTTCTCTCCCACAAACTCTTCAGCCAATCTCTGCAAGGCCTGTTTTCTGATATCTTTGACTTTACTTTCTGTATAACTCCTGGCAGACATTCCCATTGATGATCTTTCTCTTCCTTTAATATTCCCAAACTGGATTATCCCCTTGGAGGGGGGCTAAGCTGATGTTTACTATGTTACATCAGACATTTTCAGTGATGTCCTGTCTCCTTTGTGACCTGCTCTCAATGATTATGATTGTCAAACACCACAGTAGAAAATCTCCTTAAGACAAGTGACCACTCAGAAAATCAACACTTGGGATAACCAAACACTCATGCTTTGGGCAACAACTCACTTTCACAGTGGTTTTCAAATTGACTTCCTTCCTCAGGTCCCTGTGATGCCTCAGGAACCACCTCTGAGGTGCCAAGTGATGATAACTCTGGGGTCCCCACTTCATTCAGACAGACCAACTCCATTGCTTCCTAGCTCCAATGTTATCAATTGTTATTCTGGAGTTCTATGTAATATTTCATTTGGGAAAAAAAAAGCCTCACTGCTTTCAAACTTTTAATGAAAAAGATAGAAAACCATCACCTCACTGAACCTCTCTAGATCTGCCCATATTGTCAGACTCCTCTTTTCAAAAGATTTTTGTCCACTTTCCTCAGTTCATTCACCAGCTTTACAGAAATAGGGGCATGTGCCAGAGTTTAGACAGGTGTCAATTATGTTAGGTGTGGGGGAACTGAAGATAAAATGCACAATCCTTGTTTTAGTTTGGGTTCTGCCTGTAAAAGCAGAGCTGGAGAGAAAGACTTTCATTTAGGACTGTGAGCCCAGGGAGCAGGATAGCAGGAGGTTTGTGAAAAAGGATGAGAAGAAGCCAACAGGAGGATGCATCAGCACATTGGCCATCCACTCCCAATGCTCCAGCAGGAATCCAAAGTGTGGGGAGTTAATGCCCCTCCCCACTGCCAGCAGGCCTTAAGTAAAGATGGCAGCAGTTGATGCATAAATGTACTCCAGCACCCTCACCCATGAGATGGAGGTGAGCCACGGGGGTCACTCTTCCTCACTGACTCCCAGTTTTGCAGCAGGATTAAGCTCTAGCTGCCCACAGGAGGAAGTGCTTTGGTGATGCACCCTTTGTCTCCTGCCCTCCCCTGTCTCACTTCCCTACTCCCTTACCAATGTTTTCTGCAAATCTCTTCTCAAGTATAGACTACTTGCACTTGAATCCTTGTCTCAGGGTTGGTTTGTAAGGGAACCCAATCCAAGATACAGATATTTAGTAGAATGTCAGAAACCTGGGTTTGGAATATGAGAGAGAGAAATGGGGCAAGAAACAGAGATTCAAAACCAAAGAGCACTTTCGTTTTCATACCACACAGTATTTAACATAGTTTTTCAAGTACTGTGGATAATTCTTGGATAAACTGATGCATGACTTCAGATACCACATGGCTAAACTAGTACTAATCCCCACTTCCAGTAGCATGATTGGTCCCTGAATAGCCCACTGCCTTATCAGAGTTTTACTAATTTCTCACTAATGGCAACCAGTGGGACATCTGGGACACCTTCCTTGTTGGTGGGAACTCTTGGTTTCTTAGGTGTTTCCACCTTTAGTTGAGAATTTCTTTATTCCCAGCTTGGTTCTCCTTTCGAACCAACCCCATACTTACAGCGCTTGGAGAATGTCTCCATGGAAAAGAGGTGATTCTCAGGGGAAGAAACAAAGCTGTGGAGTCAATCAGTGCTCTGCAGAATACTCTGATCCTGTGCAAACATCAGAGGGTTCAAATGACATTTTAAAAATCAGTAATATTTTTAAAATATTTTTTAAAATTGTGATGATAGAACAGCATGGATATTTAGATGTCTTTATCAAACATCAACCCATTGAGGACCACCGAAGCACCACTTGGCTTTCTGTGCATTTGAAAGGAAGGTTCTGCTCTTGGCAATACAGTGGACGGTCCCTAAATATTTGTCGAAAGGACCTTCTAGGTGTGTATCTAAATTTCATATAATGTATCATTGACTGGGAAAGTTTTCGTTAGCCCTGAAGTGTGTGTGTGTGTGTGTGTGTGTGTGTATGATGGAGCCTCAGACATAACTGCTCCTCTCTTGTCCTAGGGCAATAACAAGTGAATAGCATAAAGAAAGAGGAATATTGGAAAGCCTGCTGATCTTTTCTAACTCAAGCTTATGGTAGGGTTGCTGAGATTGAGAATTTTTAGTTTGATGACAAGAACTCAAAACTTGGGTTTTTCTTAGGGAGCTTTTCATTAATTAAGCAGATAATGAGCAAATGGTAGGTGAAAAAGGATTACTTTTACGTAAGGTACAACTGAAATCTGTCAGGCCTGGCGGATTCTTTCTTTAAACCATGTTGTTTGTGGCCCATGTAATAGGTCACAATCATAGTGCTCCTGCCCCAGCATGAACTGCCTTTGTGCTACTGAAAGATGAATTTCAGAAAGCTCAAGAACAACCAGATCGCTGACTCATTATATATTGAGCAGCTTGTATATTCAGATCACAGTATGTGGGGGTGGGTGCTGTGTACGGACAAAAGCAAAATCCCAGTGCACTGGAATCAGCATCTCCCTTTAACATCCTGTTTACAGCTAAACATGCACAGACCCACTGTGCCTACCAGCCAGGAGGACTAGCCACATTTGTGCTGCTCTGTGTTGCCTTGCATTTAGGCTTTTTATAAAGGGTAGCCTGGAGTAGTTCTGAAAAATGAAGGTTGTTTTTTTCCTCCCCTCACATACCGGAGGGTTTTCCTGTAGGCTTGACTATCAGCTTTGGAATCCCTGAAAGCCCTCACCACAGAATACAGCTTTTTTTTTTTTTTTTCAAAGAGTAGGGTATCAGGAAATTCTTTTTCTGAGATGAATAACACAGTTTTAAAGTGATTGCAGAGTTCCTGAAGTTAGTAGGACTTTGGAGAATACAGGACAACTTGAACTTAAGGTGCTTAAGACCCTTGTAAAAGTTTTACGGTTCTTTCATGCTTTTGCTTTTGTGTTTCGAAAATGCAGAAAGACCTTGAGGGAGAGAGGAGGAAGCAAAATGTTATCAGAAGGGAAAAAAAAATCTTGTGAGTGCTACCTGGAGGGGGGAGAATGTGAAACTGGATCTTAATTTCCTTTTTGTTTTTTAGGAGAATGTCACTGCCTGTGAAATATGAGGCCTGTGAAGGACAAAATGTTCCAAAGTCACCCCTATAACAGCCCCCAAATTCCACATATGGGTTTTTATTCCCCCCCCCACCACGTGACTAATTGGACAAATGGTAACTGACTGTAAAGGTTCTGGAGTCCTCCTTTACTCTATTCACACATCTCATTCTTCCAGTTCCCCATCACCTCTCATTTATTATTCACTCAATAAGTATTTTTGTAATACCTACTATGTCCCAGGTACAGCATCATGTTGCGAAGATACAGAGCTGGAGATGATGGTGAGCAAAACACATCTTCCTTGCTCTCTTGGAGTTTACCATCTAGTGTGCACAGAGAGTATAATCACAATGCCAAGGAGAATAAGAAAGGCCGTGAGAGCACAGGAAGGCCTGTCTGCCCTGGGGCTCAGGAAACAGGCCCAAAGAAGGCAATAATGATTGAGCTGAAAACTGTAAAGGCCTCTGGGACAGGAAGGGAAGTGGCTCTTGGCACGGAAAGGCCAGAATTGAAAGCTGAAGGTAGGGCAGGAAGACTTCAGCAGGACAATGCTCCAGACGTATGTCTGAGCAGTTCAGAGAGCTGCCTTTTTTGGCCTCTTCTGGATTTGGGTCTTTATGTTACAGAAAATGGGCAGCTGTTAAGGGGTTTGAAAGAGAGATGTGACAAGATTTGGCGGGTGTTTTTGAAAAACCACTCTAGCTAGAGGGTGGATAAAAGAGGTTGGAAGGCAGTAGGAGGGGTTACAGGAGGCAGGGCACAGTTCAAAGGCTGTGGCTGTAGTCCCCACAAGAGGTGGTGGTGAAATGAAACAAGGTGGTGGTGGAAGAGAGAGAATTGGAGAGTTTCTCGAACTATTTAGGCCAGTGCCTGAGGGCTGGACTGGAGAGTGAGGCACGGAAGATGATGCCAGGTTCCCAGCTGGTGTAAGTGACTGGATATTGGGGCCATTAACCAAGAGGCAGAGCATGAGAGAAAGACCAGGGGTTTTGTGTGTGTGTGTGCTTGTGTGTGTAAGTAGGTAGGGGAGAGGGAGGTGTGCATGGTGACAGAAGGAAGGAGCAGAAGGTAATCGCCTTGTAGCACCTATACCTCCAATCTTTCCAACCAAAGTAGTGAGGCAAATTTTTGACCGGGACCCACAGTAAGACATATGTTTTATGTAGCCTCTGGTACACAGACAGGCTACGTAGAAATTCACAAAACAGTACTTCCCTGTTTCATGTTTAACACAGGGCTATTTCCCATTTTACTCCTTAAAACAAAAAAACTGCCAGCATGGGCTGGGAGGCGGCGACGGGGGCCATGACGGCGGCCATGACAGCAGCGGCCACCTCTGTGATGTCATCTGCAGTGTCCTTTGTGACGTTGGGACCTGGTGAAGCTCTTAAGACGTTGCGACCGGTGCCCAGAACAGACCGAGCTGCCGCTTCAGCCTGGAGGGCGGGCAGGAGGCTGCGGTGGCCCAACCCTCCCTCAGTGGCTCTTGGCTCCCCAGGCAGGCATGGCGACCTCCACCACCTCACACCGGCCCATCAAGGGGATACTGAAGAACAAGAGTTCCACTGCTTCCTTGGTGACTGCCTCTGCCCAGCAGTCGGGAGGGACAATACCGGAGGTAAAGAGAAAAAAGTCCCAGAAATGGGACGAATCCAACATCATGGCCACACAACGTCCAGCCTACAGAGACTACGATTTAATGAAGATCAACGAGCCCAGCAGCCCCTACTTCAGCCCACAAGACGATGGAGAAGAGTCAGTTAATGATTTGGAAGCAAAGGAAGCCATGACCCCAGACATCTTAGCCAAGAAATTAGCCGCCAGTGGTACCTCGGAGTTGAACTGCCAGTTGGGAGAGCCAGAGAGTGATGGGGCACACAGCAGCAAGATCCTTCTCGACAAGCAAGAAAAGCAAAGGCAGCTCGAAATGAAAAGGAAACTACACTATAACGAAGGACTGTACCTCAAGCTGGCTAGACAACTGATCTCCGAAGAGTTCCAACAAGAGAAAGACAAGGATGACAACGAAGAAACTCTAGATGATGACAACAACGAAAGCAACACTGCTGCGGAAGAATCGGATGAAGGTCCTACAACTGACGAACTGCAAACCCAGTCATTCTCTGCCTAGACAACATCTGCTCTGCCCTGCCATCGCTTGCCATACGAACTGCTACGAACTGTTACGAACTGCCACGAACTGCTACGAACTGTTACGAACTGCCACGAACTGCTACGAACTGTTATTCCAACACGCTGCTGCTTGCTTGTCGAGCCCAGGCTTCCGGTACTGAAAATACTTATCAGTTAAACTGTACCTCCATAATTCAGTGGTGAATTTAGAAAATACACTAATGGCAAAACGGTTGCTTGGTATTTTTGTGCGTGGTTCTTTGTGGCGAATACTGATAGCAATTTAAAACTGCGTGGCTCTTAAAAAACTACTGGTTACTGTACATATTACACAGTTTTTTAGATGTTAAAGGGGATTAATTTATATTCATTTGTAGATGTACTGGCTTTTTTTTTTTTATCGACTGGCTTTTATAAAAAGGTTTTGTTACAAAATCAAAATGCAGTCGGTACAGTTAGGTTACATAGTCTGATGAATATTCAGGCTGAAAAGCACTTTTCTTTAGGGTGATTTGCCTGTTTAATTGGGGAGGGGAAGATGTGTTAAGAGTAATGAGCTTAGGATCTTTACATTTTCTCTTTTCTTTCAGTGCTTACAAGGAAATGCTACCTTTTTTCTCCACAAAAATAGTTCTTTTTCACGCATCACGGGGTTAAAATTGTGCGTGTCTATTGGGACTGTGTCTTGTACACCAGGTGGGCAGATGTCAATATTTAAAAAAAAAATCTAATGTTATCTTAGTACTCCCTTCTAATAACAGTCTTAGCCTCAACCCTTTGTTTCCTCAATCCTCCTGGCAGATACACACACAACCCTTTATGAGTCATCGATTCTCAAGACATTGGGGACCCTCCCTTCTCTCAAATACTCTGTCATTTGTTGAAACAGTGTTATTTCTACCTTGATCACTATGGCCTATTCAGTCTTCTAAGGTATGGAGAAATAGGAAATAGAATTCAATTGCCAAGTTTTTACACCTTTTTGGTTTATAGCTTGCTAAATAACTTGCTATTATTAGTTTATTGTTTGACCTAGTTAGCTTTGAGAAAACAACTGAGCTTTTCTTTCATGACAGATTCCTCTGCAACCAGTGACATGATTATAGCTCCTAGACAGAAGTAAGCCCAAAGGTTTTTCGTGTATTTCCTTTTCTTTTTTAATTTAAAAGTTTACTGAGATAATTGTAGGTTCACATGCAATTGTGAGAAATGATACAGAGAGATCCTGAGTTCTCTTTACCTAGCTTTCCTCAATGGTAACTCTTTTAGGGTTCCTGGACCCAATTCCAATGTAGGAGGAGGGGCTTCCCCCACACACAGCAAGCAATTCTCACACTACCTGAAGATAGCATCCAATTCCACAGGTTAAGGGTTCAGTCCTACTCTTACTCCAGCCAGATACCAGTCACTACCCTAGGCCATCACCTTTGCTTCTGACCGACCAGCTACAGATTGTGGGTTCCAAGGACGAAGAACTTTGATTAATTTGCTAGAGCAGGTCACAGAACTCAGGGAAACAGTTACATTTGGCAGTTTATTAAAGGCTATGAATCGATAGCCAGATGAAGAGATACACGGGGTGGGGGGGGTTGCTGAACAAAGGAGCTTCTGTTGTCATGGATCTTGGATCCCACCTCAGTGGCACGGAAGCATTCTGGTTCCCCAAGCATGAAAGTTCTCCAAAAAAAAAGACCAAAAAACCCTGTCCTCTTGGGGTTTTATGGGGGCTTTATGACATAGTCAGGATCGACTAAGTCATTGGCCATTGGCTAATTCAACCTTCAGCCTCTCCCCTCCCCCAAGGTCAGGGGGTGGGGCCGAAAGTTTCAACCCTATAGTGACACTGTTGGTTCCCCTGACAACCAGCCTTTGCCCTTGGGTGGGGTCCAAAAGTCACTTTCATTAACAGCAAGACACCCATTTCACCTTTATGGCTCTGAAGTGTTTTCAGGGAACTGTGGATGAAGTGCAAATATATCTGAGAAATATAATTTGGGTCATTTGGATGAGCAAATATATCATTTCTTATAAATCATTATATCCCAGTAACATGGTGCAAAACTATAGCACAATACCACAACCCAGATATTGATGTTAATACGATCAAGATACAGAACATTCCCTCACCACAAGGATCCCGCATGTTGCCCTTTTTTAGCCACATCTGTTCTCCATTTCTAGAATTTTCTCATTTCAAGTATGTTCTATCAATGAAATCATACAGTATACAACCTTTTGGGATGTACCACACTTTGTTTATCCAGTCATCTGTTGAAGGACATCCGGACTGGTTCCAGGTTTTGGTATTACAAAAGAAGCTGCTATGAACATTCATGCACAGGTTTTGGTATGAACATAAGTTTTCACTTTTCTGGGATCAATGCCCGGGAGTGCACTTGCCGGCTCGTACGGTGGTTGTAGTTTCTTAAGAAACTGCCAAACTGTTTTCCATAGTGCCTGTGTCATTTTACATTCCCACCAGCATATATGAGCATTCCAGTTTCTCTGCAACCTTACCAACATTTGGTATTGTCACTATTTTTAAGTCATTTTTATAAAAGTGTCCTGATGTCCTCATTTGCATTTCACGAATGGCTAATGATGTTGCACATCTTTTCACGTGCTTATTTGCCATCTGCATATCCTCTTCCATGAAATGTCATTTGCTCAGTTTCTAGTTTGATTATCTGTTTTTCCCATTGAGTTTTGAGAGTTCTTTGATTTGCAAATCTTTTCTTATACTCTGTACCTTATTTTATCCTCTTACAGAGACTTCTGCTCTGCAAAAGTTTTTAGTTTTTTTTTTAAAGATTGTATTTATTTATTTGAGAGAGAGAGAGAACAAGCATGGGGAGCATCAGGCAGAGGGAGCGAGAGAAGCAGACTCCCTGCTGAGCAGAGAGTCCAACGTGGGGTTCGGTCCCAGGACCCTGAGATCATGACCTGAGCTGAAGGCAGACACTTAACCAACTGAGCCACCCAGGTGCCCCAAAAGTTTTTAGTTTTGATGTAGTTCGACTTATCAGTTTTTTCTTTTATGCGTGGTGCTTTTGGTACTCTAGTCAAATGCAATCCAGAAAGATATTTTTTTTTCACACTGTGATTTCCTAATTAAGTGACATAGTACTGGGCTGTATAGAGAGTGGACTTTTCTTTTTTAAAAACTATTGCTTTTTTTAAAGATTTTATTTTTATTTGAAAGAGAGTGAGAGCGAGAGATATAACAGAGGGAGAAGCAGACTCCCCACGGAGCAGGGAGCCCAGGCAGGCTTGATCCCAGGACCCCGAGATCATGACCTGAGCTGAAAGTAGATGCTTAACCCACTGAGCCACTCAGGTGCCCACAGAAAATGGACTTTTATTATTTAAGTTATTAAGTTTCCTTTGGTGAAAGGAATCTGAGAATGTTCAGTTCCGGTTTCAACTCTTTATCAGTATCATCTCCTCTAGTAACTCTTCTGATGTCAGCCTTTGTTTACTCATTTTTCAGTCTGAGATTCAGCAGGGCTGGTTATTTAAAACCTGGGACACATAATGGTATAAATGGATTGTTAAATAAGAGTAACTTCCTCTTGAAGGTTAAAGCAATTACATGTCCCTCCAGACTTTGAAATTGTTTGCATTTTTTCCCTCTACATTAGTACACTAAATAACATGTAATAAGCACAATAATATGAAAGAATGGTAGTCAAGAGCCACTAAATTGGCCCTTTTAAATTGCAACCTGTAATTTGAAAAACACTGAACTCAAAGGATCTTAATATTTTCAGGGGTGCCTGGGAGGCTCAGTTGATAAACGTCTGCCTTTGGCTCAGGTCATGATCCTAGGGTCCTGGGATCGAGCCCCGCATTGGGGTCCCTGCTTAGCGGGAAGCCTGCTTCTCCCTCTCCCACTCCCCCTGCTTGTGTTCCCTCTCTCGCGGTGTCTCTCTCTGTCAAATAAATAAAAAAAATCTTTTAAAAGAAAAAGGATCTTAATATTTTCAGTTAAAGGATTCTGTTCTTTTTCGTGTGCAAATATCCCCTGGGAATAACATCATAGGGGCGTATCAGGCTTTCACACCTTAGAATAAACGAAGAATGTGGTATCGAGTATTGATTGGGAAGGGAGTGGGTCAAAATTGGGGGTCATTATAAAAACGAAAGGAGAGAAAGAGGTAGCAGGAGTGCGAAATTGAGAAGGGAGGGGAGAAAAAAATGCGAAAAAAAAAGAATGGAGGAGTGAGTTCACTAGCTCTAAAAGTTGTGACTGGCTCTCAATGAGTCATTAACTCTGAACTGTCATAAAAAGGACACAAAATCTTACTGAAGGAATGATGAGGAAAAGGATAGTGCTCTTTTCCATCCAACCAAATAATTATATCAATACTACTACCAGTACTACAGCTAATAATTGCCATTTCCTGAATATATGTGATGTGTCCAACACTGTACTAGGGCTTCAGAAACATTGCCTCCTTCAATTATGCCCACAATCCTTTGAAATAGTATTGTTTTTCCCATTTTAGAGGTGAGGAAATTTAAAATAAAAGCACTTATGTAACTTGTCCAAATCCACAGCTGCTGAATGATGGAATCCGGATTCAAACCCAGGCCTGTCTGGCTTCCTCAGGCAGAGTCGTCCCCCCCTACCATACAACACTGGCTCTATTCAGGTCCTTGATGGGGACTGAGGCTTCTTCCTGCATGCCGCCTAAGCACACATGTCTACCCTGACTTTGCAGCAGGGGCTGCTTTTCTGTACAGCTGTAGAGGGGGAGTGGTCTCAGGAAAACATTCTCCGATCTAGGAGCTGCCCCCTCCCCGACGTGCACACCCCCATGAGCCCCAGGTGCTTGTGCTACTCCCTCTCACCCTCTGCTCTGAGTCCGTGCTCAGCGAAGAACCTGAGATATTCACTCAAACAAAGATGAATAGAGCGTATGTCTCTTTCAACCAGTGAACAAACATTTACCAAACATGGCCATGCGTCAGGGGCAGTCTGATGAATGAAACACA